ATCCCAGCAGCCACCACCAGCAACCTCTATGGTTAAGGCAGGGAAACCATCCCCATCCTAATCCCGTTCTCCTGTCTCAGCACCTTCACGACTGCTGGCCGTCAAAGGGGAACACTTCATACTTGGCTTTCTACTTGAAGAGGACTTTTTCTAAAGGGTCATTTTCCAGCTAATGCTAAGGGAGGGGAGAGGTGGGGGTGGAAAACCAGCCCGCTTGGAAAAGAAAAATCCAACCAAACCAATCAGCCCGGACAGATTGGTTTCAGAGCACCACTTGGATATTCCTCCTTCCTAGGCACAAAGCGATTACAAGGAGGGCTTTTTGTGAAGCATATCGAAAAAGCCTCAAAACCCCCACTTTTCCAGCACCCAGCCCTCAAGGAAGTAGCGTGTGCAAGATATATGTTCACAGCTAAGAAAACTACGGGGCCTGGGCCCTTAGGTCCCATTAACAACCTTGGAATAGGATGCAACACTTGCGGCTCAAAAGTAAATGACTTTTGCCTTTAAGGAGACTGCTGAGCAGCCCTCATTCTCCAGTTCCTTAATGATCCCCCAAGACACAGCAGTGACAGACCACGTTATTATAGCCACGCAACCATCAGCTTCCCTTCACGGACTGGGAAGATCTCCTTTTCTCTGGTACGCCTTTCAACACTTATTCAGATGCGCACACGCTTTTTATAGCAAGAGGCGCTTTCCATCACCGAGTCTGATGTCAACCGAGATGCCGGGGGCTTCCAGGAGTGGTCCTGCAGACACTACGCAGTGCGTCCTAACTTCCCAGCCCACCGACGGGAACGCTGTCTTTATGCAAAAGGTAGAGAGAGCATCGCTCCCGATTCCACTTACCTGGTTTTTCTTTTTCCTGCTCTTCCATTTTCTATAATAAAAAGCAATCCCACATATAGTCAATATAAAAATGACAGTCACAGCTACTGTCCATCCACCTTCTGTCTTTGTGTTTTCCTGTTCGGGTACATCTGAAAAATGGTTAGAAAAAGAAGTTGAAACGGCTTTTCTGTCACCATTTCTGGCTTGCGCGGCTGCCCAGGGGGCCAGAGACCTGGCGGTGGGAGGGGCGGTGCCTGCTGCAGCTCCGACAGCCACAGCAATTAAGCAGTGCCCGCGACAGGTGCCAAGAGTCTACACTGAACAGACACAGACAATTTAACTTCTCTGTTTTCTTACCCAGACAAGAGACTTTGCCTGAAACTGATGCCAGAAACTGAGAAAATGTCACATCCATCACTGGCCTGTCTGCAACGGTAACTGCAAATGTTTTGGGTTTCAAAGCCAGTCCTGCCCTGGCTTCAGTCTCTGGAACAATTACCTGTGGGTATATCACATCACCAAAGGCTTTCATTTAACTGCAGTAATCTGGGTACAGCAATTACTGAACACAATTCATTAAGCTCCTTTGGAGAGAGCCAGGCTTGTTCAATTAGCCTCCCCGGAGGGGTGGAAGAGCGCGTTTCCCAAGGCAGGCTTGCAGCTCAGACGTACCTGACACGTTAAGTTGGACGATTAGTGCAGTACATGGGCTATTATAACTGGGGAAAAAGTAACCATGGTAGGTTCCCGTATCGTTCTGGGTTATATTTTTCAGCAGCAAAGATGCAGTGCCATTGTCAATCTCCTCGGGAAAGACCTCGGTTCGCCCACGAAATCTCTTTGCCTGGCTCTCAAGGTCATCCTTGCCATCTCTGTAGGCATGCATCACTTCAGGTGAATGCAAATGCACCGCTTCAGTCTGCCAGTTCAGAGTAGCTCCTAAAGGATCCACAGCTGCATCTGGAACAACAAAGGGCAGGAGCACACCATGGTGCACAGGCGCTGTAATGCTGATGAACTCCCTTCTACACCCGGGTCCCGTGCTCGGGATGGGCGCACTCCCTAGAAAGGAATGAATCAAAGACAGGACATTAGCCCACAGCTTGATCCGGCACCACCGACCTGAGCTGGAACCGGGCAAAGAGGACAGGGCTCGTGCTGTAGCACCCCATGAACGTACCTCAAATCCACTTTGATCTTAACTAGCCCCAGAACCTGCCCCAACACGGCGACAGTCTGCGAGGCAAACCCACTCAGGGATGAATAAAGCTTCCCCAAGTGCATAGCTTTGCACTTCATAGCACTGCATTTCATCCCATCTCTCATGCCCAGGCAGCCAGTTCCCAGACCCGAGGCACCCCTTGGGAAATGCCAATGCTTATGCAAGTCTTAAATAACTGCGCAGTAACAACTGTGCTGCCCACCAGCCGCGTAGATGCAGCCTCTGTGTTTCTCTTGTGAATCATGCTTGCACACTTCACATTGCCCACATTGTGTGGCACCCCTGAAAGGGTTGCAGACATCTCAGGGAGCCACGGCCCCTGGTTCAGGATCACTGGCTTAGATCAACCGCGTTTCCATTGTCTAGCTCTGATGAGAGAAAGCCATCGGGTTAGGCTGGGGTGGTCGACCTCTACAGGCAACTCCCGCTGCACTGCATCCCGTTTCCAGCTGCATGTCTGTAGTCATTCCCTTTCCAACTTCCATGGCTTTGCACGCCCTCGGCATCAAACTAACCAGCCTGTAGCTGCCTAGGATCGCTCTTGCCTCCACCCCGCCACCCTTCTTACACACAGCCCCCTCCACGTGTTACTCTCCCACTGCACGGCACCGTCCTGGCTCAGACTGGTGACAAAGCCTTGCTGCCAGCCCCGCCGTGTCCGGAGCCACCTCTGTCTACCAGCGCTCGCCTGCATCCGTCCCGTCCGGTGCCAAGGGAGCAAGAAGGACGGCTCAACTCACCAGCTGCCGTGCCCAGAAGCAAGCAGAGGACCGGGCTTGCTGCGCACATTCCCCAGGTCTCCGGTCTCGGCTGTCCTCGAGCCGGGGCGGGGGCGGGGGCAGCTCGAGCAGCCGGAGCCGGGATCCCCGCTCGCCGCCGCCCTGCTCGGTTCTGCGCCCAGCCGACGTGATCTCGGAGCATTAAATAGGGCGCCTCTGCGCCTTCGCTGCTCCCGGCAGACGTGGCACCGTGCAACGGCCCGAAGCAGCACTTGGTCAGAGAGACGCTGGTTTGCAGCGTTGCCGCTGCTTGCACGAGGTCTCCGAAGGCCCGCGTCCAGCTGGGCTCGTCACGCGTGTTCTTTGTCCCCCGTGTCCGCGCCCTGACACGCAGCCCCTCACTCACTGCGGAGGTCTGTCTCCTCGGGGCGGGAGTCCTGCCTGGCTGGGACACGTCCGGACGGGGGACTCTGAGATGGGGGTGTCTCCCGCTCCCCACATCAGTGCAGGGCAGTCGCAGCGAGAAGCGGATCTCTGCGCGCAGCGGGGATGGCTTCAGCGCTCACCCCGCAGGCGCGGGGAGCTCCTCCGTGCTCAGGGCTTGGGGCTCAGGCTTGGTGTCGGGGCTGAAAACAAGCAGAGCCGTGTTACCCCCGGGGGTGTCACGTCTGCCGGGGGGGGGCACCTGCTCGCTGTGCAGCCGCCGGGTCCTGGGGCACTGCTGCACCCCCCGCACCTCCCGCCGGGACCCAGCGCCCCCGAGCCGGGCCAGACGCCCAAAATTCACCCGCACAAGCAAGTGCACACAAATCACCCTCAGATTATATTCTGGCTGTCCGCAGACATCTTGGAGCACAGGACTGCACCGACAAAGCCCCAAGTGCTATCGGAATATGCCACCTAGCAGCATAACCGGTTTAAAAAGGTCTAAGTTACTCAAAGCAAGCACTGGTCGCCTCTCCGTTTATGGAGTGGGCACACATTTCAAAAATGCCATTAGAAAGATTCCCGCTGCGTAAAGCCAGACATCCAGAATCTCTTAATTTAGATGCACGCCACAGCCTGGTGTGTAATGACAGCAATCGTGCATGCAATGTCCTAGTTAGACTGAGCTTGCCTACTCTGGCTCCGGCTCCGGCCTGGTGCAAAGCAGCCTGGCAATGCCCCGCAGGGGGGTGAGCAGCGCCCCTGCACCCGCAGCCCCTGTCTGCTCCCCTCTTTTGTGCATGGAAATATGGTGATAGGTGTGGACAACTAGTGATCTAGTGATGTTGTATGGGAATCTGTGTGGAAACATGGTGATTCCATGTGTGGGAAATTGCAGGGTGATTTTAAGTGTAGCTGTTGTTAAACACCATTGATTTTAGGTGTGGGGCCCTCAACAGCTCACCACAGCTCGTTAGGTGGCCCCTCCAGCCCACGACTTGGCAGCCCCTGCGTGAGGAGGCCAGAGGCCGTCGAGAAGGGACATAAAAAGTGAGGGGTTATTAAGAAGGGAATTGTAAGAAAATCTGAAAGTACCGTGATGCCCCTTTCTCAATCCACCAGCAAAACACCCCTCATGAATGGTGGGGGGGACCAAGCCCCACGTCGGCTCCTGCGCCCCCCTGCGGCTGCGGGCCCTGCCCCCGTGACCCCATGCTCCGCGCCCCTCCCCACCGTGTCTGTGTGTCTGTCCGTCCCTATCACTCCAAGGCAATCGCTGCCCGCCCTGTGGGCCGCGCATGCACAGTTGCTCTACAACGTTACGGACAGACAGACGCAGCCGGAAGGGCCACGGGTTTTATTCGATGACAATCATTTTACATGTAAAATTCCCAGCGTTGTAGAACAAAAATCTTTCATAAAACTTAAACTCTGCATCAAAGCATGAAACCCCTGACACTAACAGCAAACGTTGGCACTAAAGATGCGAGTCCTTGTGCGTTGTGATGCCCAGCAGGTCGCACTGCCACGTCGAACAAATGCCTAGAGAGGCCTGGCTAAGTATGTCTTGCTAGAACCCATGTTGGGAGAAAACATGGCACTTTAGGGTTTTTCCCCTTTATTTCCAGTCAGGGGAAGCAGCAGCACCGGCTTCGGCCCGTTCACTTTGACCTGCCAGAAGAAGAGGCACAGGCACTGCGGGGGCATCGGGTCCATTCCCACACGAGGGGCTGGGGGGATCCCAGCCTGGTTTCCAAAGACACGTCCGGTGTCGGCCCGAGGGAGGCTCAAAACCCCCGCGACGCGTCTACACGAGACGTTTACTGCGGAGCTCGTTTAGCCATTCTGCGCATCAGGTCACTAGCTGGAGGATGTAGGACTGACGAGGGGAAATATGGATATGACGGTGAGGAGGTACTCGGGCATTGTTAACATCATAGAACCCCCAAAACTACTGCAAGAATTTAATTCATATTTTACAGAAAAAAATATTGTAAGTTATTTAAAGGATTGTAGAATGGCAAGTTTCCCAAATGCCTCTCCAATATATTCATTATCATTTTACTGTTTTCCCCTAAGAAGAGTCTTTAAAGATCCCTTCACAGACTCCATCCCCTATTCCACTGAAAAAATACCGGGACAGCAGAGGCATGTGCATGTGTTTCCAGGTCTTGTATTTCCTAACTCTAATTATCAATTCTTGATCAGAATATTTTATGATTTAAAGTTGTTTCTTGCAAAGCAACACAGACCAGGTTGCAAATAGTCCATCAGAAAGGAATCAGAGTTTCCACTGTAATGTAATTGTTAGTAAAGGAAAAAAACCCTTAAATAGAAACCCTCCAGTGTTGCGCTTTTCCTCAGGCACTCTCAGCTGCAAAGGCCTTCGGGCGTCTCTTCTCCCACCCACACAATGAGGCACAAGAGAAGAAAGCGTCCCCAGCAAAGGGACAAATGGCCAGGGGAGAAAGGTGCCCGGGACCCTTGCAACCAAAGGCCACCGGGCCGCGCCCTGGGCGCTGCATTGTGTCCCAAACAGACATGCCCAAGCATCAGGCTGGATGATGTCAGTGGAAAGGAAAAAAAGGCTGAGCACTGGAGACATTAGGGCTGAATCCAGCCCAGCTCCAGCAGCCAGGCCCCGCCACCCCATGCTGTGGGAGTCGGTGGAGCTCTTGGCTCATCATCGTCTACCCGATTCCTTCTCAACTCTTCATTCCACAGGTGTTAACTCATTCCCATGCAGTTATATTGGTTTTTGCTTCAATCTCAAATGGGATAATCCAGCCCCAGGCCCCTGCAGCATTAGTAAAGCTTCTAATTTCTTTTTAACTGGAAACAAATATGGTTGGTATGTGATAATGTACCTCAACATCCACAACTTCTTTTCAAAGCCCTAGATCCGCCCATGGTTCCTGGCTACCGTCCCGCTGCGGGCACCATGCCACCAGCGAGCAGTACAGCCAAGCTAGAGAAGCTCCTGGTTTTACTGTGACGGTCACAGTGTAGGAGGCTTCGCACTAACCCTCGCTCCTAGAAGGAATCTCCTTTTGCAGTAAGAAAACCCAGTTTCTAGGCTTCACACTTACGCCCCTAAGTGTCATTAGAGACAGACACAGGGAGATGGACTTTGACCCTCCGGCTCTCTGCCTCCTCGTTTTGCTCCAGGGAAAAATACATGAGAGATTTGGGGTGTCCAGACCCTGTGCTGGCAGAAGCTAGCACACAATCTTTTTAGATATTATTCGTGCTTGCTCTTTCCACTTTATTTAGAAGCTGGCCCAGCCATTCCGTATTTTACACAGTGTCAAAAACACATATTTTTAAACTGGGTGCCACTAACCTTCGAAAAGTTACAGCATGTGTCTCCAGCCTGCAAAGGTTGAGCAGCACTGTCTGAGCCCCTTGAACTCTCTCCTCTCGTGGCCTAATTCCTCCCTGCTGTCAGACGACAGGGCAGGGCCCACCTTGACCCATACCGCCCTGCCTTACCTCCGACCCGACTTGGGACCATGCCTCTCAATTCAGGGTTCAGGGATGAGCAGAAAGAAACGCACCAAGTCATTTCCCCCCTAATCCTTCAAATCCCTCCTCCAGACCTATTTCTGTGACACCTGCCAAAAAACTGCCCACCCCAAATAAGCCCACCAGCAGCGAGGAGGCTGGGAGGGAAGCTCAGGTGCCTTGTTTTAATACATTCTTGATTTAAATGTGTTGTTCGATATTAAAGCAAAAGAAGTGAAGGCCTGGAAGGGAGCCATCAAACTGGTAACATAACCAGTGACTCATGATTTTGCTACTGGTTACATCCCTGACCTTCTGCACTTCTCTTCCTGTGGTCTGTCAAACCTGCTGGTGTTGTTTTTAACATAATCTTGATTTAAATATGTAGTTATGTATTATCTCACAAGATTCAACAAGGATAAGTGCAAAGTCCTGCACTTAGGATGGCGCAGTCCCCTGCACCGGTGCAGGCTGGGGGTGACGGGCTGGGCAGCAGCTCTGCAGAAAAGGACCTGGGGGTGATAGGGGACAAGGAGCTGAACAGGAGCCAGCAGTGTGCCCTCGGTGGCAAAAAGGCTACCAGCATCCTGGGCTGCATTGGTAGGAGAGTTGCCAGTGGATCAAGGGCACTCTATTTGGCAATGGGGAGGCCACATCTGGAGTCCTGTGTCCAGTTTGGGCCCCCCACTACAGAAAGGATGTGGACAAGTTGGAGAGGGTCCAGTGGAGGGCAATGAAACTGGTTAGGAGGTGGGGGACCTGACTTGTAAAGAGAGGCTGAGGGAACAGGGTTCACGTAGTCTGCAGAAAAGAAGACAGAGCAGGGATTGAATAGCAGCCTTCAGCTCCCTGCAGGGGGTCGCAAAGAGGATGGAGCTGGACTGTCCTCAGTAGGGACAGATGACAGGACAAGGAGCAACGGGCTCACATCACAGCAAGGGAAGCTGAGGTTGGATATTAGGAGAAACTCTCTCACTGGGAGGGTGGGGAAGCACTGGAACAGATTTCATAGTTTCATAGTAGGTAGGGTCAGAAGGGACCTGAGCAGATCATCAAATCCGACCCCCTCCATGGGCAGGAAAGATGGGGTCAAACGACCCCGGCTAGGTATCTATCTAGCTTCCTATTGAAGACCCCCAGGGTAGCAGCGAGCACCACTTCCCTTGGAAGTTGGTTCCAGATCCTAGCCGCCCTGACTGTGAAGTCGAGCCTCCTGATATCCAGCCCGAATCTACTCTTGGTCAATTTATGGCCATT